CATAAATATACAAAATAATAGAAATAACATAAATAGTTCGTAGAGTCAATACCTGCAACACCACAGGCACTCACTGCTTCTCTCCCTTCCTTCTTTTCTTCCCTTACGTTTCCCCTAGAAAAAACGCTTTGTTGTAACAATTTAGTTTTCATGGTAATCTCAGGACAGGAATTCCCATATACCTGAAAAAAACTGGAACTGAGAGTAGTTCTTTAATAAATGCTATTCTGAGGTAATAAATGCTATTCTGAGGCTGATTTCTTTTTCTCTGGATATATCTGCACATTTGTTCCTTTCTCTTTTCTCTTCTAATCAACATTCTGATCTTCTATTCTTTGTCATTTCTACTCTTTTTTTATTTGCTTTTTCACATAGCTTGTCCTGGCTTCCCCATTCCTTTCTGTATCATGGGAACTTTAATAACCTTTTGGTTCCCCTGCTGATTAGCTGAAGCTTTTATTTCCCCAGTTCTTACGATAAGTGTCTGATTGGTCCAGCCCATTTTTTTGAGTGAGGGCTATAACTCATTGGTTGCTGGACAGCCTATGGATGGGTCAGGTGACTATCTTTTGGTTCAGTTAGCTGCTTTGGTATAATTCCTTATACGAACTTCATGATTAGAAATTAGCATGTGAGATGTAGTTGATGATTGCTAACTTTAATATCCTGTTGGAAAATGTGTATATTGATGTTTCAAATAGGTTAATTTTTATGGAAAACAGTAACAAAGGATGATTTAAAGTTATTATTTAAACTGCTTAAATTTTTTAAATCAACTTTGCTTTTCCAAAAACAATTCAATTCTAAAATCATTGGTGGGGCAAATAAAGTATGCATTTTGGTGTGCATCTCTGACAGGAGGGTGCCACAGGGCCCAGAGCAGGATGTTAGGGTCAAAGTAGGGTGAGGAGGGCATCCTTTATGTGGGGGCAACCCGATGTGGCTGCTTGGTGTGCAGTGTCAGAGACTAAGCAGGGTGTGCAGGCAGCCGGTGCAGGGAGTCAGAGCACAAGGGAGGTGAGGAGGGCAGCCTACTGTGGGGAGTCGGAGCCCTACCATGGTGAGGAAGTGTCTATGCTAAGGGGTGGGGTAAGTCCAAAATTAGGAGTCGGTTCTGAGAAGAACAGAAAAGTGTCCACATGGGGGAAGGGTGGCTTTGGAGGTGGAAGATGGTTACTTACAGGGGGATTGATTAAATGAGTAAGTAAACTGAGGATGAATGGGTTCCAGGTTTCCCACTGTCAAAGAAGAGTTACAAATATAGAAAGGGAAACACTAAAATGAAGCATATGGTTTTATATTGGAATTGGATAAATGGATGTGAACTCATGTTTTTTAAAACATATAGACAGATACAGAATAAATATACACATATCTCTTCATGACCCTTCGTTTTCTTATATTCTCAATGATAAATAGATATAAGCATAGGTATATAGATAATAGAGGTGTAAGTTGAAGGCTAATTGTTTTTGCAATAAGTAATTCCTTCCAAAGGATATAGTAGTGATTTGATGTAGAGCTAATAATCTTTTGAATTGAAATATCTATGATTTGAAAACAAAATAACAAATTTTTAAGGTTACTGATTTACTTTTTTCTATTCTTTCCTTTGTAGTGTCCATAAATTCTTTAACTTACTAAAGGAAATTGATACTAGTACCAAAGTTGATAATGCTATGTCAAGACTATTGAAGAAGTATGATGTATTGTTTGCACTCTTCAGCAAATTGGAAAGGTAAAGTAAACATTTTATTAGCGTTATACTCTGATTTTTTTTGTCATTGTTCATAATTAGATTCTGGGAATTATTTAACACGTTTAGTAAAGTTAGTATTACTTCTTAAACTTGTCCCTTTTCATGTGAGCTTATTAATTCTTAGCTTTTGTATTTATCCAGTAATATGCATTCTGAATGCTTCCTGCAAAATTAACCGTTTTATTGTCCTTTCATGTCTTCCATTTGTTTTCAAAAACTTTAAGCTTATCTCCCATTGTAGCCTTCTCTGCCAGAAAACTTCTAGTTCTGAATAGAATGATGACATAAATTTAAACTTCTTCCTAATAGTGTTATTTAGTTTGGAATGAGAAAACACTGGCAATGGAAGGTGTATGTGACCTATACTATGAAGTAACGATTTGTACTCCCAATGGTGGCTTAGAAGACTTTTTCCATTACAGTTCAAGTAGGAGCATAATGAATATGCTTAGGTTAAGTTTTTTCTATACTTTTCATCAAAACTGTAGTCTCCTACCCCAAATGTTTCAGCCCTTAATTTGGCATATGTCTGTTATCATGTTTGTTTTGAGGCTCATTCCATTTGCGGTTAAGAGAACATGAAAGTTACTGTGTTAGCTAAATAAGCAATTTGTAATAGCATGGTAAAGGGAGAAGGGTAAAAGAGGCATGTCCGTATTCTGGAGAGAATGAGGATGAAGATAGAGGTGGAAAGAAGCATCTCCTTAGGAGGATGCCTCTATTTTTCTCCCCCTTTTTCTTTTTTGATCACTAAAGCTTGACAACTGTGGTGGAGGATGAGAAAAAATAGAGAAAAAACTCAAAGGCCTAGGGCTTTTGAAGGAATGTCTTTTCTTGCCCCTGGTTTTAATTGTAATATGGTAGCATTGGCCATCTTTTTTTTTTTTTTTTTTTTTTTTTTTTTTTTTCTTTTCTTGATGAGAATAGAAGCTTTTTGCACAGGAAAAAGGAGAATTTTAAATTATTAATGGAGATAAATTATCTAAATAATTTGCATAACAAACTTGAACTAATTATAGACTACTTTGAAAACACAGAAAGACATAAATAAAATATGAATCGACCAAAATGTCAACGGTGGAGAGAATCACTTTTCGTGTTTTAGAATGTTTCTTTCCTTTGGGTATTGTTTCACACTGAGCAGAATATTATGTGTTTGTGTGTGTGTGTGTGTGTGTGTGTTTTGCTTTTAAAATTTACCTAATTGTGACTTTCTACATTTTTTTCTATTCTTTAAACTTGTTTATGACCTTTTAATTCGTATCTGGTAGCTTATTTTAATATAATCCTAAATACAACGTTGCTTTAGAGATTTTTTTTGGTCACAATATTATTTAGACCCCTGAAAAACTGGAAACAACTGTGTATTCACAACTGAAGTTAAGCAATAAATATTAAACGTATCTAAACATAAAATATTATAAATATAAAATAAAATGTGATAAAGAATAATGGCAATATTGGAAAGTGCTTCTAATGTTAAACAAACGAAGCAGGATATACTCTGATTATAACTGTGTGTAAGGAAGGAACCTAGACCACTAATGCATAGAATGGAAATGACTGGAGAGAAGTTTACCAAAATGTTAACCCAAGTTTTATATGAGTAACCTACATTTGTAAGGAGGATGTATTACCTCTCTAGTAAACAAAGCAAGCAAAAACTTCTTTAAGCCAACTTTAATGAGTATCCTGTACATATAAGTACTTCAAGATCTATAATCATCAGGGTTTTTTTTTTTTTCTAGATACAGAATTTGGGGACTCGTTGGTAGGAGTGATTTGGGGTACAGGTCTGATTTTTTTTTTCCTGCTATGGTAATTTTGACTGGATGCTTCCAAGTTGTTTGCTCTGCTGTATGGGATAAGGAATCTGCTTGGATATTTGTTTCTGTTGTAAGAAGCAGAAATTACATAGCGGACAAAACATTACATTGTATATGTTTAAGGGTGAAGGGTAACTATAGTCGTGATTTTGGTCAGAGAAAAAACCATAGAAGGCAATGTCAGAATAGGGTTTACAAGAAAAACAGAAATTCACCAAGCAAAATGAGTGGGAACTGGGAGCAAGCATCTTAGAGATTAGCATGTGTACAAAGCCAAAGCAGTAATATCAGGATGTACTTTGATATTGCTAATAACTGAAAGGTAGGAAGGGATCAGATTGGTAGTAATCTTGGACTTTGCCCTACAGGCAGTGGAAACTCCTTGAATGATTTTAAACTAGGGAGTAACAGTCGGGTTTGGCCTCAAAAGACCACTCAGGACTTTGTAAAAGGGACTTAAAATTTTTATTGACAAATCATATGAGATAATTTAGAGTAAACTTTACTAACCTTAGGTGGATCAGCAGGGTTTTTCCTATCTTATTTATACCTTTTTTTTTTTGAAGAGTAATTGAGAGGATTAACTGTGATACCAAAGCCTGTTTATTTCAGAGTAGGCTATATGAATGTATATGACTAGCAGTTAAATAGGTTTTTATGACCCAATCTAGGATTCTAACCAACTACAGTGTTACAAATGAACATAGGGAGTTCAGTCACTGTAATTAGATATTACAGTGATGTGAGATGTCATAAATTGGGAAAATCTACTTGAACTTTGTTTTGTAATGCTGTACATTTTTTGTTTTTAAAATGTATTGTTTTTAAAAGATGAATAAAGCATGAGAAAACTACTATAACTTGTAAACTATGAAAAAATGTTAAAAAATCATAATATTTTTCTTTTCAGGACATGTGAACTTATATATTTGACACAACCCAGCAGTTCGTAAGTAGTTCAGAGAACGTTGTTTTTCACTTAAAAAAAAAGATTTTTCTGGAATAATCTCAAACATCTTGATAGTTAGGGTTAGTTTGATCGATTATAGCAGGCTACTTCATAAATGAAGCCCATAGATTTAAGTCCTGTGTAGATTATTTATCTTCTCACAAAGAAAATAATATAAAATACATGCCTTGTACTACAAGGAAGAACTAATAAGGTGGAATTGATTCAGGGCAACATATCACCAACTCTGAGAAAAATGCAAATTCCTTGACTAAATCTTTATTGAGGGTCTGTTAAAGGCACTTTATTAACTAAGAATCAGCATAATTTCTGTGTAAGAATAAATGTAAAAATCTGTATTACAATTTCCAAACGATTATTTTAAATGTATAATGCATGCTCGAACAGTATGCCAATATAGAGCTCCAGAGTTTTTTCTTGGAAATGGAATGAGTAGTACATGAGATTTTCTGCCCCATTGGAGTAGTATTGAAGATTATTAATATAAAGGGAAATTGTATATTTACTGATTAATTGATATCAATCTATTAATTCCAACAAGTGAATGTCTATGGAAAGATTATTGAGGCAAAGTGTTAAATTGGCAAACTAAAGTCATCCAAACCTTCATTTTTCTGCTCAGTGTTGATAATTAATCAGAAAAAAAGAGCAAAAAATATTAAGGTAATTTGAAACAAAGTATATTATAGCATACTATGTCTTTTACATATTTTTATATTAGAATTGAAATATTCAGTATTTCTTTTACAAAATTTTTCTCTCAAAATATATACTTTTTTTCTTAATTTTTTTTTTGCAGCTTCTCATGGTCAAGAATGTATACTGTTCTGTAGGCTAAATATCATATCTTAGAATTATAAGCTATAGAAACATTAAATGAATAGAGATAAATTCAGGTGTAAATTATGCATTTAAAATGGACTGCATTCTATTATGCATTTAACTAAGGTCATTTTTTTTTTAAATGCACAACAAGAAACAATCAAAAAGTATATCTGGAAAACTTTCTTTCAGTGATACATTTTTCCTGTTTTTTTCTGCTTTCTATTTGTTTAATAGGATATCTACTGAAATAAATTCTACATTGGTGCTAAAAGTTTCTTGGATCACATTTTTATTAGCTAAAGGTAAGTTCATTATATTTATTAAATGCTAATATTTCAAATGTAATGATTAAATTGGCATTCCTTTGGACTGAATTCCCCAATTTTTATTGAATAATGTACTCCTCTCTCATTCTCTACATGGCTTATTAACTGTTAGCAAGTTCTTTTAATTCTGGTACTAGAAACAACCTTGGAAGTGCTTTATTTCATTTATGTTTCTAATATTCCATCTTTCCTTCCTTTCTTTTTTTTAAAATAATGATGTTACTGTTTTCATAAAAATGATATTTGCTCATGAAAAATAATTCAAATAAAATAATTTTGGTCAGGAAAGCACAAAGAAAAATTACCTAAAATCCACCCAGGAATAATTGGCATTAAAATTACATAATTGGGATGCAGTTAAAGTATAGAGTTTTTATTATTTTTGTTTGTTTATGCAAACAGTGTTAACTTGTTATCAGTTAAAATAATGGGTTATAAGATAGTAGTTGCAAGCCTCATAGTAACCTCAAACCAAAAAACATACAATGTAGACATGAAAAATAAAAAGCAAGAAACCAAAGCATATCACCAGATAAAATTAACTTCACTAAAGGAAGACAGAAAGGAAAGAAAGAAGGAAGAGAAGACCACAAAACTACCAGAAAACAAATAACAAAATGGCATGAGTAAGTCCTTACTTATCAATAATAACATTGAGCATAAACGGACTAAAGTCTCCAATTAAGAAAAACAAGACCCATTTGATCTGTATCCTACAAGAAACACACTTTGCCTATAAAGATACACGCCAACTGAAAACAAAGGGATGGAAAAATATATTCCATGCCCACAGAAACCAAGATAAGAGCAGGGGTCACTATACTTGTATCAGACAAAGATTTCAAAAACTTTAAGGACAAAGAAGGTCATTATATAATGATAAAGGGGTCAATTCAGCAAGAGGATGTAACGGTGTTAAATATTTATGCAACTAATACTGGAACACCCAGATATATAAAGCAAATATTATTAGAGCTGAAGAGACACACAGGCCCCAATACAATAGAAATAGCTGGAGACTTCAACACCCCACTTTCAGCATTGAACAGATCTTCCAGACAGAAAAGCAACAAAGAAACATCAGACTTAATCTGCATTATATAGACCATATGAATCTAATAGATATTTATAGACCATTTCATCCAAGAATATACATTCTTCTCCTCTGCATATTGCTCATTCTCAAGGATAGACCATGTGTTAGGTTTAAAACATTAAAAAAGCATGAAATAATATCAAGCATATTTTCTGATCACAATAGAATAAAACTAGAAATTAATAACAAGGTATTTTGGAAACTGTACAGATACATGGAAATTAAACAACATGCTCCTGAATGACCATGGGTCAATGAAGAAATTAAGAGGGAAATTAAAAAAATTTTTGAAACAAATGATAATGGAAACTTATAACCAAAACCTATGGGATACAGTGAAAGCAGTACAAAGAGGGAAGTTTATAGCTGTAAGTGCCTACATCACAAGGAGGAAAACTTCTTTTTTTAAAAAAAATTTTTTTTCAGATTTGGGGGTACATGTGATGGTTTGTTACATAGGTAAACTTGTGTCACAGGGGTCTGTTGTACCGCTTATTTCTTCACCCAGGAATTAAGCCCAGTATCCAATAGTTATCTTTTCTGTTCCTCTCCCTCCTCCCACCTTCCACCTTCAAGTAGACCCCAGTGTCTGTTGTTTCCTTCTTTGTGTTCTTAAGTTTTCATCATTTAACTCCCACCTATAAGTGACGTCATGCAGTATTTAGTTTTTTGTTCCTGCATTAGTTTGCTAAGGATAATAGCCTCCAGCTCTATCCATGTTCCTGCGAAAGACAGGATCTCATTCTTTTTTATGGGCTGCATAGTATTCCATGGTGTTTATGTACCACATTTTCTTTATCCAGTCTGTCATTGATGAGCATTTAGGTTGATTCCATGTCTTGTGGATAGTGCTGGAGTGAACATTTACATGCTTGTGTCTTTATGGTAGAATGATTTATATTCCTTTGAGTATGTACCCAGTAACGGGATTGCTGGATCCAAGGGTAGTTCTGCTTTTAGCTCTTTGCGGAATCATCAGACTGCTTTCTACAATGTGTGAACTAATTTACACTCCCACCAACAGTGTATAAGTGTTCTCTTTTCTTTCCAACCTCACTACTATCTGTCATTTTTTGACTTTTTAGTAATAGCCATTCTAACGGGTGTGAGATGGTATCTCATTGTGGTTTTGATTTACATTTCTCTAATGATCAGTGATATGGAGCTTTTTTTCATATGCTTATTGTCTGCATCTACGTCTTCTTTTGAAAAGTGTCTGTTCATGTGCCTCGCCCACTTTTTAATGGGGTTGGTTTTTTTCTCTTGTAAATTTGTCTAAGTTCCTTATAGATGCTGGATATTAGACCTTTGTCAGATGCATAGTTTGCACAATTTTCCTCCCATTCTGTAGTTTGTTTACTGTGTTGATTGTTTCTTTTGCTGTGCAGAAGCTCTTGAGTTTAATTTGATCCCACTTGTCAATTTTTGATTTTGTTGTGATTACTTTTGGTGTCTTTATCATGAAGTCTTTGCCCATTCCTATGTCCAGGATCTATCCTTTTTGGTTTTTTTTTGAGACAGAGTCTCACTCTGTTGCCCAGGCTGGAGTGCAGTGGCAAAATCTTGGCTCACTGCAACCTCTGCCTCCCGGGTTTAAGTGATTATCTTGCCTCAGCCTCCTGAGTAACTGGGACTACAGGTGTGCACCACCATGCCCGGCTAATTTTTGTATTTTTACTAGGGATGGGGTTTTACTATGTTGGCCAGGCTGGTCTTGAACTCCTGACCTCAGGTGATCCACGCTCCTCAGCCTCCCAAAGTGCTGGGATTACAGGCATGAGGCACCACACCTGGCCATCTTTAATCCATCTTGAGTTGATTTTTGTACATAGTGTAAGGAATGTCCAGCTTTAATCTTCTGCATATGGCTAGCCACTTATGCTAGCACCAGTTGTTGAAATGAGAGTCTTTTCCCCATTGCTTGTTTTTATCAGCTTTGTCAAATAGATCAGCTGATCCTAGGTGTGCAGCCTTATTTCTGGGTGCTCTATTCTGTTCCATTGGTCTACACTATTCTGAAAAAAATGTGCCTGTGCCTGTTTTTGTACCAGTAACATGCTGTTTTGGTTACTGTAGCCCTGTAGTATAGTTTGAAGTTGGATAATGTGATGCCTCCAGCTTTGTTCTTTTTGCTTAGGATTGCCTTGGCTATTCGGGCTCTTTTTTGGTTCCATTTGAATTTTAAAATAGTTTTTTCTATTTCTGTGAAGAATGTCATTGGTAGTTTGATAGGAATAGCATTGAATCTGTAAATTTTTGGGGGCAGTGTGGCCATTTTAATGATATTGATTCTTCCTATCTGTGAGCATGGGATGTTTTTCCATGTGTTTGTGTCATCTCTGATTTCTTTGAGCAGTGTTTTGAAATTCTTGTTGTAGAGAGCTTTCACCGCCCTGGTTAGTTGTATTCCTATGTATTCTTTTTGCAGCAATTTTTAACGGGATTGCCTTTCTGATTTGGCTCTCAGGTTTGCTCTTGTTGGTGTATAGAAATACTAGTGATTTTTATACGTTGATTTTGTATCCTGAAACTTTACTGAAGTTGTTGATCAGCTGAAGGAGCTTTTGGGCTCTAAGTCTATAGGGTTTTCTAGATATAGAATCATGTCATCTGCCACAGAGATAGTTTGACTCCCTCTCTTCCTATTTTGATGCCCTTTATTTCTTTCTCTAACCTGAGTGCTCTGGTTAGGACTTCCAATACTTTGTTGAATAGGAGCAGTGAAAAAAGGGCATACTTGTCTTGTGCCAGTTTTCAAAGGGAATGCTTCAAGCTTCTGCCCATTCAGTATGATGTTGGCTGTGGGTTAGTTATAGGTGAAAAAAGAGGAAAAACTCAAACAATCTAACATTGCATCTTAAAGAAGTATAAAAATAAGAGCAAATCAAACCCCAAATTAGTAGAAGAAAAGAAAGATCAGAGCAGAAATAAATGAAATTGCAATGAAAAAAAATTGCAAAAGATCAATGAAACAAAGTGTTTTTATTTAAAAGTTAAACAAAATTGACAAGCCTTTAGCTAGATTAACTAAGGGAAAAAGAGAGAAGATACAAATAAAATCAGAAATGAAAAAGGAGATATTACAACTGATACTGCAGAAACTAAAATTATAGAAGTCATTAGTGGCTTCTATAAGGAACTATATGCCAATAAACTGGAAAATATAGAAGAAATGGGCAAATTTCTAGACATGTACAACTTACCAAGATTCAACCAGGAAGAAATCCAAAACCTGAGCAGAACAATAACAAGTAATGAGATTGAAGCCATAAAAAGTCTCCTAGTAAAGAAAAGCCCGGGACCTGATGACTTCACCGCTGAATTGTACCAAACATTTAAAGAAGAACTAATATCAATCCTACTTAGAGTATTCTGAAAAATAGAGTAGGAAGAAATACTTCCAAACTCATTCTATAAGGCCTGTATTACCCTGGTAATACCCTGTATTACCAAAACCAGATAAAGACACACTACAAAAAGAAAACTACAGGCCAGTATTTCTGAGGAATATTGATACATAAATCTTCAACAAAACACTAGCAAACTGAATTCAATAATACATTAGATAGATCATTCATTATATCCAAGTGGGATTTATCCCTGCAATGCAAGGATGGTTCAACATACACAAATCAATGTGGTATGTCATATCAACAGAATGAAGGACAAAAATCATATGATCCTTTCAACTGATGCTGAAAAAGCATTTGATAAAATTCAGCATCCCTTCATGATCAAAACCCAAAAAAAACTGAGGATAGAAGAAACATACCTTAACATAATAAAAGCCATATATAACAGACCCACAGCTAGTATAATACTTAATGGGGAAAAACTGAAAGCCTTTCCTCTAAGATCCAGAACATGACGAGGATGTCCA